CAACGAGACAAATTAAATAATATCTCTGGATCTAATAATGATGTCAGGATGATCTAAGTATGAAAATGTAGCTTTTAAAGCCATGAATCTGTAAATATGATTTGGTCATTTTGACCAAATTTGGCTTAATCTTCATTTCAATGTGATGGGTCACATATTAGTAGTTTTAATGTTAAAATGGTTGTTACCTTTTTGTTTTGTTCTTCCTTAACAAAAAGTATACGCCTTCCCTAAATGTTTTTATGTTTTCAGGAGGATTCTCTGTCAGGCCGTTTGTGAGAAGTATTCAGCGTCAGAGCTTGTCCTCCAGATCATCTATTGCCAGTCCTTTAGCCTTCAGTGACAGTGGGATAAAGCCCTCTTGGTCTCTCTCTGCCAAGCTGCAAATGAGATCCAACTCCCCTTCGCGTTTCTCCCTCGACTCCCGATGTTCTCCTCCTCTGGAGAGGATCGGAGAGGCGTGCGATGATAAAGTTTCCACCTCTTGCTTTGGCAGCTACAGTAGGCACGAGCGGTACTTTGGCAGCAGGACGCCTTTGTCCATGATGGAGAGCAACTTCAGTGACAGTGACAACAGCAAAAGATTCATAGACATGATGTACTGCAGGGCTCCCACTCCAGTAGAAAAGAAAAGCAACAAAAGCGAAGCAACAGAAAACAACAACGAGATTACAGCTGTAGACCAAAACATGCTATCCACTCAAGCCACTCCCTCCAAAGAGCAGAAACGGAAGAGTAGCATTGGAGGATTTGCCCTAAAGCCTGAAAGCACAGCTCCTCCAAAAAGTTCCAGCAAAACAGAACAAGAAAAGAYCTCGAAAAAACGTCTGTGCTATACCAATAAGACCCCAGCTACAGATGTGTCTTCCAGTACACCTACAAAAAGCAAAAAGGTGAGCAGTTCTAAAGAGAAGACTGTAAACACAAAGAAAAGCACCTCAACACCGAGCGGAACTCCCTCCAAAACAAAAGACTCTAATAAACCTGTAGAGGCCACGCCACAACATAAGCCATGCGTTCGCTCCACGCCTCAGTCTTCAGCTTCTCCCTCACCTACTGCGAAGAAGAATTTGGGTACAGCTGAGAAAAGCGCCGCAGGCAGCCGCAAACGACTGGTAGAAAGGAGTTGCAGCAGAGACTCCATGCACACCAGCCCTCTGGTCGACAGCCTCCGAGGCAGCTGCGCAGCTCGTTCCTCGCTTTCCAAGAACGGGGACGGCAACCGGCTCGAGAAGAGGTCCGTGAGGAGCTCCAGCAGCAGTTCTTCCGTCACWAGCCTGCGCTCGCCCAGCGTGTCCACCAGAGACCTGCAGCGGAGCAGCAAATCCGAGGAGAAAGGGTTGTCTTTCTTCAAGAGCGCCCTTCGACAGAGAGAGAGTCGCCGGTCGGCCGATTTAGGGAAAAGCGCCATGCTTAACAAAAAAACCTCAGAAAGGACATGCAAGCAGAACGGACAAGCYAAGGAGGTAGATGGTGATGAGCGAAAGGCTGGAGATGCGGTGTCTTCTCAAACAGAAACTCACGAAGGTGAGTCAAAACCAGATAAACAGGAGTCTTCCAAACCCCCCAGCTCTCTCAGTCGCACCCTACTAAGYGTTGGGAAGTCCAAGTCTTCCACCTCCGTTGTAAGCAGCAAGTCTCCCACTAACGGAAAGAAGCCTCTTGAAAGAATGGCGTCTTCCCGAAAGCTGCCATCAAGCATGCAGTCTCCTGCACGAACCTCACAGAGGCCTCAGTGATACATCTGTGGTAAATATGTTGAGCAATCAAAATGCAGCTAGTTACTTTGTGCCTAGACTTTCAGTTAGCACCAGACGTATTGGAGACACGTTTTTTGATGTTATGGTTTTGTAACGTAGCCCACWGTACATACTGTTGTCTCTGAGTATTAGCATCCACCTCAGAGTTTTGGCTAAAGTAACTGTGGTGCACAACTTACTTTAGGTAAGCTCGTGTGACCAGATTATTTTGGCAACGGCAGCTGTATAAACTTAAAAAATTAGGGTCCAAGAAACATCCACCAAGTATATGCTGATAGTGCGTAAAATGAAACATCTTCTTCCCACTTTGCTATTTTTCAGTTAAAACAGGCCGACTGGTGATGCCCACAGAGTGCCGCTGGTCTTTAAGCTATTTAAACACAACCATAACATCAAAATTAGCCTCTGATACTGATTCTGAGTTGTTACGTTCGTGAACATGCACACAGATTTAAGAGTTTCATTCCAAAAAGGAATTTGGCTAAACATGATTTAATTTTTCATTGATGATTTTAAAGCAAACTGAATTTTGTCACGTGCGTTTGTCAGTAATGGTCTCGTACATTTTTTTTAAATCAAAAACATGAGGAAGACTCAGTACCGTAAACAAATGTGAGTAAAACAACACTAAGGGAATGGAGAGTTTTAGGATTACTATAAGGAGCATTGTGATGAGCATGGACCAAAACAAAGGTTAGAGAATGAGGAAGAATTCCTCCAAAAATGAAACTTTTTTTAAAAATTTGTTTTGATAGAATGCTATTTTAATGAAATTCTCTTTAAAGTTACAGTACACGCAGTATATTTTCTGTAACAAAGAAGATGGTGTTTTGGAATGAAACCCTTTAAAATCCGGTTCTATAAATCTATCTAGGTGTGTCTGTACACATCGATGGACAGTGAATTGTACAGAAMCTGTTCATTTTTTCTCTTTTTTTTCCATGAGCAAGATGAAAATAATCTTAAAGCGCCTTTCAATGCTGCACATGGAAAGAAATAATTCTTTAATTGTATGCATCACTGGTAGGAATGTTGTTTTTGGTAGCACTTTTTACAGATAACGTATGATAGTTATTCTAGAATAATCCTTTCAGTGGTTTTCAGATATGTTGTAGTCAATGGCCTTAGACTTGAAATGGTAAAAGGGTACATTCATCTCAATGTTTCAGGGGTCATTTTACAGTCATTTCTCCTGTAATACACCTGGTGCTGTAACAGGACAGTGCTCCACCAGCACTGACGTTTTTTTTAATAATCAAAACTGCAAACACACATTTCAGTCGGAAGTGCTTTATCRTCTTTACCTCAGAGAAGATCTAGTAAATCGAACGGCTCATAATAAAAATAAAAAAATAAATATAATGCAGAATGCTGAACATTCTGAATCATCAAAAGGTACACAACAGTTTCACAGTAAAATGCTAGAAGCRAAGTTAAAAGAGAGATTATTGTCACTGCAGATATCTTGGCCGGCTTTGACTTAATCGTAAAACTGACCCACCTCTCCTTAGAAAACTCACATCAGATACCAGCTTTGTTTTAGAACATCGAGTGTGGGTAAACGATTAAAACTGAAACMACAGAATCACTTAAAATCAAGATGTTTTGTTAAATCTTTGTATCAGTAGCATTTATCAGGTTTACACTTCTCAGAATGTTTGAGGAAATACCACCTAATTAAACYGTTTTATTTAAATGGCCTGTACACAGTTTTAGATTCAAAACTGTTGTATAGTAATATTTTATTTAATTTACTTTTCTATAGACAGGTAATCTCATTGAGACAGGTAGTCTTTTTTATACGAAAGACCTGTAACACAAACACATGGTGTCAGTTACACAAAATCATAAAACTCTGTGTGTATTTCCCTTTTGAAAGCAAATTAGATGCAATAACTGTTTTATGCAACCTCATATTATTTGTTTCTCCGAGTCACCAGTACATCACTGTCAGATTAAATTACTGTTTGATAAAACAAAATTAGTATGTACAAGAACCTTTTTTGTGTCTAGGCACAAACAAAGTCTGCAGTTTAACATTTCAAAAGGTTTCTGTTCAAAATCTAAAACCAGATGCAGGCCTGACATTTTGAAGAAAATCATCCTGCTTATTAAAACAGTWAAGTTTTTAGGTTTGTTTCTGCTGGAATTATTATTTTTATTATTTTCCCTGTMTGAGCATCATTTTACTTGTAACTGATTGTGTCACAGGCCATAGAAGTAAGACATGTTATGTTTAATTATGATGGGTTTCCTGTAGCTGCATTTTTAAACATTTCTCTATCAGGAACATGTGCATGGCACTTTGGCTTTAAAGCAGGACAAGTTTCTGTTTTTTTTTTTTTTTTGTTTTTTTGTTTTACACCTTGTTCCAAAGTCTGTGAGTTATTGTCTGTTTGCATTTTAGAGCTCATCTATTACTTATTGGCCATGTCAAAGTGTAAAAAACAAAACAAAACATACATTTATGTAACTAAAACCTAATCCTTGACGCTGTGATTCCCCATATTTTGGATACTTTTGTTTTTATTAAGGAATGTAGTTGGCTGTCTGACAATCTAAAACGATATATATATTATTAATCATTTAACATGTAAATATAGATTAGAGATTTAAGTCACACTATTTTGCCAAACTTTGTGGCCCCTTTTTTTAAGGAATTAATACAAAAAGCAACCTCTTCTCTGGTTTTCCATCCATTTTATCACCACCACATTGCAGACATTGTGTGTTTAAAAAATATTGAAAACAGAACCCAGCAGATGAAGAGTTACTGRTAGATCCTCTGATAGAAGGTATCTAGTTCTGTAAAATTGAAACAGCCTCACTTCTTGAAAGAAGTGCAATGTGTTGCAAACYTCTGACCTAAATGCATCATGGTAATTAATAGAAGCTTGTCACGAAAAGCAGAATATGTGGAAAAATACCATCCTGGGATTTTTATTTGTAGTTTCACTAATATTGCCGTTATCATTTTATATCACATTTATTATCAGTAGGACTATTTGATTAACAAAAAGGGTAGAAAGGGCCAACTTTAAAAGGCTCCTAAGGCAGCTGAACACTAAAACTGTCCTGCATGTTTGGCCATATTATGACCACTAACACCCTTTACTGGGCAACACTGCCCATCYTTATTTAAATTCRGTGTTCTGCTTGGATAAAAGAAATAAAATCGACCAGTCCTCTTAACGCACTAAGACAGCAGGACAGCGTAGGGCCCATAGTACTATGTAATGTCCACCTTCAAATCTTTGTCCTTCCAGCTTTGACCAATCAAAGCTGATTCAGTGATGGGTGGTCCGAATGTTTTTACTGATTAATGTAAATCTATCCATTGGCTCCACACAGTTGGAGAACTTAAATCACTATATTTCTGATTTATTTTAGTTTCCGTCTTTATGTCTTAGGCTGTAGCTTTTCGCAGTGCAGTGTCTTATTATTACTTTTACAATGGCKTTTTCTGTAAACGTGTCAGTGTACAAAACCGAAAAATGAGGAATGCAGTATCGCATGAAGACACTAAATGCATGCATTTTATAAACTATGCAAGAATCTGCAGCTGTGTGACGTAGAAGCAATGCATGGCCGGTGCATCCCACCGCTTAATTTGCACATCATTTCCCATATTTCTAAACCTATACCACCCCAAATACTTCATCTCTTTACAATTAAGCTTCAAAATCTTGTTTATAAAAAAAGAATGCCTTGTGGCATGACGGTTTTTAGCATTATTTTTTTCATTTTCCCTATCTAATTTTTACCGGTGCTCCTACCAAACTGGTGGGTTTATTGTCTTGGTTGTTTAATATTTACTGTTGCACACCAGCAGAGATAATACTATGGATGTGATAATCTTTATGTGGTTACKATGTAGACTCATAATCTATCGATGTAAAGTGAAGAGCCTATTTTACTTCCGTGGTCATTTCGTGTACCCTTGTTGCCATTTTGTCAAATGCATCAAAATGTGGTTGGTTTCTAAAATAAAAGCCACTATATGTATATATAAAGCAAAGTAGGTAAATGCAATAAATAGAGATAGTAAATTTAGTTTTGTAATACAGTATGTAACAAACAATAACATTCAATTTTACAGTTAATATTTCTGGCACATCAGTCATTTTTTTATTACGCATTGTTTGAATTTGTCATTTTTTCTAAACAGGGTTTTTGTTTTATTCTGACAGATTGAATTTAACCGTGCAACCTTTTCTTTGACGAGTCAGGTGAACGTGAATCATACAGTTGTTAAAAAAAGCACCTTCCAGCATAGATAAAATAATAAAAATACATTCACCAAGTTTTTGTTTTAACACTGCTGTTTTTTTTTTTTTTTTTTTTTTTTTTTTTTTTTTTAAAAAAAAAAAAAAAAAAAAAAAAAAAAAAAAAAA